GGCAACTTATAAATGATTTTGTTCAGCAAGTAAAGAAAAATGAACACTTTCCCAGTAGTGTTAAATTCTTGAAACTAGACTTTTTTCCACAGTGCCAGAGATACATTTTACTAGGAAACAGCTAATTTCTTAAACTGTTAGTAAACTCTTGGTGACAATTCTAGCTTTTAATACTATGTGTGTCCACCCTGCCCGCCCCCCCAAGATGTTTGATAATAAGGAAGAATGTTCTTCCTTAAGATTAAATTCTTCCACAAGGTTAGAAAGCTGCCTCTGACTACACTTTTTAAAATGCAGCTAACTGCTGCTTATCTGGCGTTTTTTCCATGAGTCATATGGCTGTAGTTTGGTGGTTTAAACTGGTTTAAAAGCTCTTGTCTTTTAAAGAATAGGATTAAAGAAGGACCAGAATGAGCTCACTAGTTACACAATCACACAGAATGAATCAGAGCTGAAAGGGGGAATTTTACATGACTTATGGAATCAGGCTTTTCCCAGGAGCTGGGGGAAATGTATTGTTACAGAGCAGATTTGTCTTTCTGAAATGGTAGAAACCTGACCTTGAATATTTAATATGGCTACACAGGAAGGATCTAGTCTCTGGTCTGGCCTAGTTCATTAACGTATCTTGGTTTTTTCAAGCATTTTCTCTGAATTAGTTTTCAACAAAGACTGTTGCTTCTGCAATAGTTCAGGGCGGGAGTTGCCTCCAGAAAGGTAATTATCTGTCCTGAAGATTAGTCATTTAGGTGTGAATCATTCCTAAATGTCCCATCTGATGTGTCATTCTGACATTTCCTTTCTTCCTCTCACAGCGTGAGTGCATCTCCATCCATGTTGGCCAGGCTGGTGTTCAGATTGGCAATGCCTGCTGGGAGCTCTACTGCCTGGAACATGGCATCCAGCCTGATGGCCAGATGCCAAGTGACAAGACCATTGGCGGAGGAGACGACTCCTTCAACACCTTCTTCAGTGAGACAGGCGCTGGCAAGCATGTGCCCAGGGCAGTGTTTGTAGACCTGGAACCCACGGTCATTGGTGAGTTGACCTCAGTAACCCAAGTGATTCCCCAAGGGTCTGGGGCAGGACGTGTGTCCCAGGGGCTCTGTTGATGCCCTGGGGTTGAGCAGGCTTGTGCAGGTTATTGGTGATAGATGGCCACTTTGTTTCCCTTTTCCAGATGAAGTTCGCACGGGCACCTACCGCCAGCTCTTCCACCCCGAGCAGCTCATCACAGGCAAGGAAGATGCCGCCAATAACTATGCTCGCGGACACTACACCATTGGCAAGGAGATCATTGACCTTGTCTTGGACCGAATTCGGAAGCTGGTAAACACAGTACTTTATTTAAAGTGGGGTGAGAGTCTTCTCTTACAGTTTTAAGAGACCAAACAAGAATCACTCTTTGACACTAAACTAGGCCTTAGACTGCTAAGTAAGTAAGTAGGCTTTTAAACCAGACAGTCCTGGGTTATGGGCAGGGATGAGTGCTCTTTAGCCTAGTCACACTGAGTGAGTAGGTGACTGATTCTGACATGTAACTAATTGATCAGACTAGTAAAAAACAAAACAAAACAAAAAATCTGGACTGGCGCCTTATGTTACTACAAAAAGTTCAGAGCTCAAGAGGCCAGTATAACACTGACTAGAAATGGCCACAATGGAAAGAAACTTCCAACATTGAAAGTAGAGTCAGGGGAGCTCCCTTATTATAGAAGCAAGTATCACTCATTGAAACTTGGAAGGCATTGAGATATAAACACAAAAAGCAGAAGGCTTGCTTTTCTACTAGAGCTCGGGGTAGTGTGGACTGGCCCTGTGGCAGAAAAATCTTAAGCAACTATTCACGTCCTTGAAGTTGATAAGTGTTCTGTTTGGGTCATTTTAATTAAGAGTCTGGCAGTCAGCTGACTCTCTGCTCCTTAGACATGTGGGCAGCTTGTAAGTAATTAACCAAAAACCAATAATGAAGGCTGGGGTGAAGTACCTTGTTAGGAAAATCACATTATACTAAGCCTAACCACAACTGGTCTATTCTAAAAAGAATGGCCTTGCATCATTCATGGCTTCATACTTTTCCAGATGTTTATCATAGTTTTCTCAGCAAAATTGGGTTAATGATTCCTGTTTGTAAGTCAAACTTCAGCTATAAGCACTGACTTGGAAATCAGGACCTGCCTTTGGCAACAAATAAGCCTAGTGAAAGCCATTGAGGTTCTAGAGTGAAGTTCATTAAATACCAAAACATGTGCATTTTTCCTTGGTAATATTACTGTGTCTGTCCACATGAGGCTTAATAGATGCAATTGGTGGACTAGGATCTTGTACATTGATTTCATTCAGTGAGGGGTTGGTAGAGAATGTCCAAATCTCTGAGCACCTTTGAGTACTAGGGGTCATCAACAGAAAGGTCAAAAACACCCTTTCCTGGAGCTGCTATGTGCTAACTAGAATAGCTCAGTTAAGTGGTAGAAACAGTGACATAAGGTCTCCTGGAATTGTGACAGCAAGTCACCTTTCCCAGAATGAATAGGCTTTCTGGTAACAAGTGTTACTGTGCCAAGCACTGTTCCAAGTACTCGTTTAATTCTCAACCTGAGCTAGATTACTATTCTCCTTATTTACGGAATGAGAAAACTGAGATCGAGAAATGAATTTGGTCAAAATCACACAGCAAGGAACTGGTAGAACCAGATCCAGACCCAGGCTGACTCCAGCACCAGGGTATTGGAACTTGGCTATTCTGTCATATTCCAGCTCAGAAAGCAGCTGCCACACCTTGTAAAGATATCCATTGTGCGGGGCTGGTGGTCCCAGGCCTGTCCTTGGTAGCTCTCCAACTGATAAGTTGCCCTTGTTCTGTAGTCACAGCAAGGGCACCAGAGGGTGCCCTCCCAGTCACTAAAACTTGGGCCCTGTATGTATCCATTCCAATCCTTGATTCTTCTGCCTACATCTATGAAAATAGTTCATTTTTAAATAGCCCTCAGCAGATTTCACCCCCTCCCAGGAGTTAATTGTGAAGTTTCTCTGAATCACTTAGCACTTTAGAGGCTTTCTGTTTCAACTGCTTTCTTAGCAAACATTCAAAAGATTTTTAAAATCTTGATCAACATAATTATGGATTCAAGGAAGTGATTACAGCTTTCACCAAAGCTAAAATTAAAACTTTTTTTTTTTTTACAGGCTGACCAGTGCACAGGTCTTCAGGGCTTCTTGGTTTTCCATAGCTTTGGTGGGGGAACTGGTTCTGGGTTCACCTCCCTGCTGATGGAACGTCTTTCTGTGGATTATGGCAAGAAGTCCAAGCTGGAGTTCTCCATTTACCCAGCCCCCCAGGTTTCCACAGCTGTAGTTGAGCCCTACAACTCCATCCTCACCACCCACACCACCCTGGAGCACTCCGATTGTGCCTTCATGGTTGACAACGAGGCCATCTATGACATCTGTCGTAGAAACCTTGATATTGAGCGCCCAACCTACACTAACCTGAACCGCCTTATTAGCCAGATTGTGTCCTCCATCACTGCTTCCCTGAGATTTGATGGAGCCCTGAATGTTGATCTAACAGAATTCCAGACCAACCTGGTACCCTATCCCCGCATCCACTTCCCTCTGGCCACCTATGCCCCTGTCATCTCTGCTGAGAAAGCCTACCATGAACAGCTTTCTGTAGCAGAGATCACCAATGCGTGCTTTGAGCCAGCCAACCAGATGGTAAAATGTGACCCTCGCCACGGTAAATACATGGCTTGCTGCCTGTTGTACCGTGGGGACGTGGTTCCCAAAGATGTCAATGCTGCCATTGCCACCATCAAGACCAAGCGCAGCATCCAGTTTGTGGACTGGTGCCCCACTGGCTTCAAAGTTGGCATTAATTACCAGCCTCCCACTGTGGTGCCTGGTGGAGACCTAGCCAAAGTACAGCGAGCTGTGTGCATGCTGAGCAACACTACAGCTGTTGCTGAGGCCTGGGCTCGCCTGGACCACAAGTTTGACCTGATGTATGCCAAACGTGCCTTTGTTCACTGGTATGTGGGTGAGGGCATGGAGGAAGGAGAGTTTTCAGAGGCTCGTGAGGACATGGCTGCCCTTGAGAAGGATTATGAGGAGGTTGGAGCAGATAGTGCTGAGGGAGAGGATGAGGGTGAAGAGTATTAACCCGTCTGCTGCAATATTATACTGCAGTGTCTTGGGACTGTCTCATTTCTGTTGTGTGAAGTTGTCCATTATGTCCCTAACTTGTCAATAAAAGTGATGTGTTTTTTTTTTAATGTCAGGCTGTCTTCTGTATCACAGTGAATACTTGCCCCACTTATTCAAGGCCAGTTGGAGATGGAGGCTGGTCAAGTGGCTTCTGTGTGCTATGTACTATGCTAAGTTTTTCGCTCAGGCCTGAATTAATGGTAATAAAATCATTTGAGTAAGGCAACAGGCTTAGATAGATTGAGCCAATGCTTCTCAAACTTCAGTGTGGATGTGAATACCCTGTAGATATTAAAATGTAGACCCAAATCTGTAGGTCTGAGGAGGCACTTGAGATACCACAGTTTTTGGTAAGCTTCCAGCTGATGCTTTTGGTGTGCTGTGACCACATGTGATGGCAAGGGGTAGGTGAAATAGGTAGTAAATTCAAGTAACCAGCCAGACTGCCTTAACAATTGCTGTTAGTATTTGATAAAATAGTCACATGGGAGGGGCTTGGAATTGTGCTGATATATGCCATATTTAGCCAAAACCTACAATAGCAAATAAGAATATACTTTAAGAAGTTAACTGCTTGGAGAAAGTTGGCTGACACACAATTATAATAGTCATAGGTTGTAGTACTGGTACTTAACCCAATGTCTGTTGTGGGGAATATTTGAAGTATCGGAATAAAGGGGAAAAATTGAAGAATTATGTATACGTACGAAAGACTGGAGAAGGGAGAGTTCCCTAATTTGGACCCTCTTCCAAGCACCTGTTGGAAGCAGTGTGGTTCTTGAGGCAGGGAGGAGCTATAAAGTGGCTGGGGAAGAAGGCATAAATGTGCATGGCTGGAGAGCTTGGTGATTGATACTCAGGTACCAGTGGTGTGGCCTATAAGGTTAAGCTGAGTAATGGACATAGAGGACCAAGGGGCCAAGCCTCATGCAGAAGGGAGGAATCAGTTTGGGTGCTGGCCTGAGTGGAAATGCCACAAAAGTGGCAGGAGATGGGGGCAGGTACAGAGCTGCAGATGTGTTCACCTTTGCTCCCTTACTCTCATGGTGCTCAGTTACCAGAATCTTTTTTTCCCACTTGTGTTTTCGCCCCTTACCCCTTGCTCATCTCTGCCCCTTACTCTTAGAAAGGGAGCATCTAAAAAACATGCGCATTCTATGTTGGAACACTAACTGCACTGCTTCCAGCCTGAGATGCTTCAACTTTGTGCTGGGGGAGGGTCTTACATCATTCATCTTGAGAGCAACCCTAGTCTTAAGCCCTCCAGGGCAAGGCGTAGCCCTGTCACATCCTTGAGTACAAAGCCAGCTATTCCTGCTTATCAGATGGGCCAGATTCCTCCTGCAGCCTGAGTCCAAGATGAAAATGAACCTTGGACAGGCCGGCCACCCAGCCCAGCCACCAGAGGGGCAACTGGAGGCAATAGGACACTCAGCTGAGAAGAAGCAGATAATTCAGCTTCGGCTGAGCACACGATAGCCCATGATACTGAGATCCATACTTTGAGCCAGTGTTTCCCAAGCCCAGTCAGTGCCCTGAGATTGGGATTCAGGGGCTCCCTGTGCTAATCGCCTCTGGCCATGAGTGGCCCCTTCAATGACCTCAGTAAGCCTTATAGGTAAGTTACTTCATCTGCCAAAATGTGAAAAGGCTGGAAACCTTGAAGCAGCCGCAATTGGGAGCGGGAGGGAGTGGGGGGTGGGGGGAGGGGGGATGAGAGAAGAGTTTAGCTGAGAAAAAATATTCCAGTAGGACAGAGCCTGGGGAATTGGAAGAGTAAAGTGCCAGTGGTTGGGGAAGGATATGTCCTTGCAATGATAATTTTTCCTCTATTGTGTTGGTGAGAGAGTGAATTGAAGTTGCCTGCAGCAAGAACAAATATACCCCAAGGTCTAGGTCACTGCTTTGTGGCTGACAATCATCTGATCTGCCCTTGAGCACAAATGGAAAGTCTGGATTCACAACTGCAGCTATTGCTAATGCCGCTGAGGCTTGATGGGGATAAATGGAGAAGGCCTATATGGTGCAGGCTCTGAGATTGCCTGGGGCCCCAGTTTCTGGCTCTGTGGACAGAGAGCTTAGGCTGCTCTGGCCTGAAATGACAGGAGGAGCAATCTGCATACACCCCATGGAAGCTACTGGCTACTGAGGGACCAGTGGGCCCAGGCATAGCTGCTTTGAGCTGGGATGAGGAGGAAAGAATGGCTGTGAGGAGGGCGGTATGCTGGCCTAGCTACCTGTCATCCTAAGTGGGAAGCAGCTGGCAAATGCCCCTGCTCCAGCAGAATTTGTCAAACAGCCCACCGTCAGGCCAGAGGTGGCCAGGTGGGTTCAAGTTTAGAGAGGGCTTGTCTTCAGGTCTTGGATTTCTGTAGGTGTTGTGGGAGGAAGGGGAGGCTCTGTCAGGGTGGGAGGGTTCCATGATCTTCATAACACCCTGTGAGGAGATATACCCATTTCCACAGCTGAGAAAGTCAAAGCTCCAAGCTAAGTATCTAGCCTAAGGCTACAGACCAAGTGGCTGAAATGAAATTTGACCCCAGAACTCTGACTCTGCTCTGCCCAGCAGCCTCCAAGCAGTGCCAGAGGAAGTGGTCACCACACCCAGCAGCCTTTCCAGCTCTGGGTGATTAGGGCCACGTCCTGGGCCTTGTCAGGCAAGAGGCCCACAGTGGTCAGCCTTCGTGTGGAGCAGTGGATGGAGCCACAGCCACAGAAAGGAGATCTCACTATGCTGTTGATTGTTAGATCTCCTCCCAGCAGCCCCTTTCTGGGGTCCAGGTGATAGCACGCTGTTCCAGAGGAGCAAAGCCAGCTGGTCTCCACTAGCCAGACTGTAGCTTTCCTAGTAAGGGGGCTTTTTTGTCCAGGCCTCTCTCTGAACTCGAATCAATTCTCAGATCATAGAAATATGATGTCCTTGCAGGGTAGCTGCTACCACCTTTCTGGACTCCTGCCGACGAGACACCAGCCACAGTGCAGACAGTACAGCTCACACCTGGGGCATCACACCCCCACGCACTGGGCCCAGAATGGTCAGCTCCTGTCAGCCGAGGCCACAAGGTGATGTCGATAAAGATAACCCAGGCAGATGGCTCCTGGAGCCCAGTGCCAGGGTAGCTGTCGGGGAGACACGGGGTAACAAGATGAAGGGAAAACAGACCCATTGTGTTGGGTGGGGAAGGTTCCCACCTTCAGTCCCATGGAGAAAGTCGCCTTTGCCGACATCTCATTAGCCTGTCACTGCTCCGTTCATCCCAAGAGCATGATGTCTCTCAGTCTGTCAGTCCTGAGCAAGTTCTGGGAAAACAGTTTTTTCCTCTTCTAACACTCCTTGGAGTTTTTGCAGCAGGAGAGAAATATTCAGCAGCAATGAACTTTCCAGAACTAAAAACATGTCTTCTTTAGTCTGTCATAAAACAGAAAATGCTTTTAAATACTTGTTTCATCAGCAGAAGACTTCTTTTTTTTTTTTCTATTTAAAAACAAGAACAGAATATAAAGCTTTTTTAAATTACACAGGGTTTTGTCTACATTCATGAATTAGTTTAATTTGGAGGGGTATAAATTTAATCTCACTGCTATCACCCTTCCCTCCCCACACTCTGTTCTTATCAGATATCTCATTTGGCTCCAGATGTCTAGCCTGACAGTAAGCTAATACAGAAATGCCCTTGGCAAAAGTAACCATGTTCATTATCCTTTTATAAAAATTATTTCACTTTTTAAGTTTAATTCATTTGTTCATTATTTTGGGGGCACCTATTTGGTGCAAGCCCCTGTGCCAAGTTCTACAGGGAATATATTTAGTTTTTTGTCACCCTCAGACTAAAGACAGATCACCTAGGCACAATTCAAGGCAGTACATGCCACAAGTCAGAAGAGATGATCACACGTGGCAGCCACTGTTGCATATCTACCGCAAAGCTATCCCAGCTGGTTGCTGTACCTGCCAACACAGCCCAGTTCCATTAAGTTGTTAGGCACCCATGTGCATCAGGGGAGGCTGGGCCTCCCCACCACCAGGGTGAATCTTAGTCTAAGCTAATCGAGGTAATTCCAGTTCTCTTGCCAGGGATTGGTTAAAGAACCAGCATGTGATGCAATTATGGGACTGAGAGGTGAGGTAATGTCTGCTGATTGGGGGCTGGGGAGAAGATATTCTCGGAAAAATTTCCTTGCTCTTAAAAAGGAATGCAGGGAAAGGATTCTTCATTTTGGATATATTGTGTGCACACACGATGCTTAAAGTTGCTGCAGTCATCTCATGACCACAAGGGGAGAAACATGAGGACAAAATCTAACATGGAGCATGACAGCAGAAACATGAAAAGAACCTGAATCCTTGAGAGGATGTTGACTCCCTGAATGAACCATCCCTGAAACTTTTCTGCCTCTGGGTTTTCCATTATGTGAGATTATAAATCCCCTTATTGTTTAGGACATTTTGCCTTGGGTCTTCTATTGCTTCCTGCCAAAAGTATGCTAACTAATATGATATAAAAGCCCTACACAATAGTTCATAGAAACATTTAATAAAATAATAATAAAAATATTAAGACCCTTTTAAATCTGTATAACCCTTTTCCAGTCCAAACATTGCCGCGAGAGAGCGGAGATTCCATGTGCCCTTTCCTTGGTTTTCGGCCTTCCTCTGCCTGCAGTTCCTGGTCAACTGATCTGCTTCTTCCTGTCAGTGTTTCCAGGAGTCTTGGCTGAACTTAAACCATAAATTGAAAGCATATAGAGAACATCTGCAAGCCTAAAAATTGTTCCTCCTTCCCTTTTACATACAACTGTGAATGGAGCCTTCGTCAGATCTGCCTATTACAGAAGAGCAAGGAGGACCACTGGGAAAGAATCACTCCCTCTCAGGAAGCCCAGCGCAGAAGGCCCCTGATCCCAGGGCAGTCCCAAATCTTCCAGAGCCTAAGGGGCTTTGAATTGCCCTTGCAGACAAGAGGTTGGCGCCAAGTGACTCTTGGAACAAGAACCAGACCAGATTCTTGGGGCTTTAGGGTGTGAATAGGGGTCACTCGACTGGTTGTTCCCCTCTCTAGCAACCCTTGGGTC